CAATTTACAATCCATTTGAAATACGATATTTTTAATATAAACTATGTTTTAGATCGAAGAAACGACGTGTTATTAATCTACGAAAAAATTGCACAAAAGATGAATCCAGACTAAAAACCAGCGAACCGGTGGTAGTATCTACGAATTATATTCATGTCATTTCGAATATTTTTTCCAAATTTTATATTTGTTATGGAAGGCGATATATCACAGAACATTTTGTGATAGTCACCTTTATGTCTCAATGGAGACACGACAGGTACCCTTACGAGGGGAGAGTATCAACCCTTGGCATCGGTAAACCCTCGTTGCAACCGGGGTAGGCGCCTGATGGGTTAGGTATATACAGTGTTTCTCATTCAGGAGAAAACTGTTGGCTATCTGTCCCGTTCATTTTTCATATGTCGCGTTCCAGCAACGGAATTTGAAAACAGTTTTCTCATATATTTTAGTTTCTTATTCCATGTGACTTTCATAATTTCAATTCTCAATCAATCCAAAATTCTGGATTTAATTCCACCTATGTTTTAGATCGAAGAAGAACCCTGCTATGAATCGATCAAAGCCCAATCGAAGAATAGCATAGACCAGAAACCAGCGACGGGGGAAGAATTTCGCATTATTGCATTTTCTGAATTCTGCATTTTTATAGTATTACTGAATAAAGTAGAGAAAGAGAAGACAGAGGAGGAAAAGAAGAGAGGGAGGTGGAATAATTTTTCAAAATTCTGTTTCCCAAAGGCAGGCCGACAGGCAGATACTTTGATGAATCAAGTTCATGATTCGAGTACATTAGTAGTCAAATTATTGTCATTAAGAGAAACTCTGTTCAGTGGCCTACATTCTAGTAGGGGTGGTGGAGGGACCATCATCTCCCTTTCTTCAAAATCACCTATATGTCTCAATGGAGACACGACAGGTAACAGAATTTGAAGATAGTTCTCGTATATATTTCAGTTTCATATTCAATGTAAGTCGTATAATTTCAATTTACAATCCATTTGAAATACGATATTTTTAATATAAACTATGTTTTAGATCGAAGAAACGACGTGTTATTAATCTACGAAAAAATTGCACAAAAGATGAATCCAGACTAAAAACCAGCGAACCGGTGGTGGTATCTACGAATTATATTCATGTCATTTCGAATATTTTTTCCAAATTCTATATTTGTTATGGAAGGCGATATATCACAGAACATTTTGTGATAGTCACCTTTATGTCTCAATGGATACACGACAGGTACCCTAACGAGGGGAGAGTATCAACCCTTGGCATCGGTAAACCCTCGTTGCAACCGGGGTAGGCGCCTGATGGGTTAGGTATATACAGTGTTTCTCATTCAGGAGAAAACTGTTGGCTATCTGTCCCGTTCATTTTTCATATGTCGCGTTCCAGCAACGGAATTTGAAAACAGTTTTCTCATATATTTTAGTTTCTTATTCCATGTGACTTTCATAATTCCAATTCTCAGTCAATCCAAAATTCGGGATTTAATTCCACCTATGTTTTAGATCGAAGAAGAACCCTGCTATGAATCGATCAAAGCCCAATCGAAGAATAGCATAGACCAGAAACCAGCGACGGGTGAAGAATTTCGCATTTTTGCATTTTCTGAATTCTGCATTTTTATAGTATTACTGAATAAAGAAGAGAAAGAGAAGACAGAGGAGGAAAAGAAGAGAGGGAGGTGGAATAATTTTTCAAAATTCTGTTTCCCAAAGGCAGGCCAACAGGCAGATACTTTGATGAATCAAGTTCATGATTCGAGTACATTAGTAGTCAAATTATTGTCATTAAGAGAAACTCTGTTCAGTAGCCTACATTCTAGTAGGGGTGGTGGAGGGACCATCATCTCCCTTTCTTCAAAATCACCTATATGTCTCAATGGAGACACTACAGGTAACAGAATTTGAAGATAGTTCTCGTATATATTTCAGTTTCATATTCAATGTAAGTCGTATAATTTCAATTTCCAATCCATTTGAAATACGATATTTAATATAAACTATGTTTTAGATCTAAGAAACGACGTGTTATTAATCTACGGAAAAATTGCACTGAAGATGAATCCAAACTAAAAACCAGCGAACCGGTGGTGGTATCTACGAATTATATTCATGTCATTTCGAATATTTCTTCCAAATTTTATATTTGTTATGGAAGGCGATATATCACAGAACATTTTGTGATAGTCACCTTTATGTCTCAATGGAGACACGACAGGTACCCTTACGAGGGGAGAGTATCAACCCTTGGCATCGGTAAACCCTCGTTGCAACCGGGGTAGGCGCCTGATGGGTTAGGTATATACAGTGTTTCTCATTCAGGAGAAAACTGTTGGCTATCTGTCCCGTTCATTTTTCATATGTCGCGTTCCAGCAACGGAATTTGAAAACAGTTCTCTCATATATTTTAGTTTCTTATTCCATGTGACTTTCATAATTTCGATTCTCAATCAATCCAAAATTCTGGATTTAATTCCACCTATGTTTTAGATCGAAGAAGAACCCTGCTATGAATCGATCAAAGCCCAATCGAAGAATAGCATAGACCAGAAACCAGCGACGGGGGAAGAATTTCGCATTATTGCATTTTCTGAATTCTGCATTTTTATAGTATTACTGAATAAAGTAGAGAAAGAGAAGACAGAGGAGGAAAAGAAGAGAGGGAGGTGGAATAATTTTTCAAAATTCTGTTTCCCAAAGGCAGGCCGACAGGCAGATACTTTGATGAATCAAGTTCATGATTCGAGTACATTAGTAGTCAAATTATTGTCATTAAGAGAAACTCTGTTCAGTGGCCTACATTCTAGTAGGGGTGGTGGAGGGACCATCATCTCCCTTTCTTCAAAATCACCTATATGTCTCAATGGAGACACGACAGGTAACAGAATTTGAAGATAGTTCTCGTATATATTTCAGTTTCATATTCAATGTAAGTCGTATAATTTCAATTTACAATCCATTTGAAATACGATATGTTTAATATAAACTATGTTTTAGATCGAAGAAACGACGTGTTATTAATCTACGAAAAAATTGCACAAAAGATGAATCCAGACTAAAAACCAGCGAACCGGTGGTGGTATCTACGAATTATATTCATGTCATTTCGAATATTTTTTCCAAATTTTATATTTGTTATGGAAGGCGATATATCACAGAACATTTTGTGGTAGTCACCTTTATGTCTCAATGGAGACACGACAGGTACCCTTACGAGGGGAGAGTATCAACCCTTGGCATCGGTAAACCCTCGTTGCAACCGGGGTAGGCGCCTGATGGGTTAGGTATATACAGTGTTTCTCATTCAGGAGAAAACTGTTGGCTATCTGTCCCGTTCATTTTTCATATGTCGCGTTCCAGCAACGGAATTTGAAAACAGTTTTCTCATATATTTTAGTTTCTTATTCCATGTGACTTTCATAATTTCAATTCTCAATCAATCCAAAATTCGGGATTTAATTCCACCTATGTTTTAGATCGAAGAAGAACCCTGCTATGAATCGATCAAAGCCCAATCGAAGAATAGCATAGACCAGAAACCAGCGACGGGTGAAGAATTTCGCATTTTTGCATTTTCTGAATTCTGCATTTTTATAGTATTACTGAATAAAAAAGAGAAAGAGAAGACAGAGGAGGAAAAGAAGAGAGGGAGGTGGAATAATTTTTCAAAATTCTGTTTCCCAAAGGCAGGCCGACAGGCAGATACTTTGATGAATCAAGTTCATGATTCGAGTACATTAGTAGTCAAATTATTGTCATTAAGAGAAACTCTGTTCAGTGGCCTACATTCTAGTAGGGGTGGTGGAGGGACCATCATCTCCCTTTCTTCAAAATCACCTATATGTCTCAATGGAGACACGACAGGTAACAGAATTTGAAGATAGTTCTCGTATATATTTCAGTTTCATATTCAATGTAAGTCGTATAATTTCAATATCCAATCCATTTGAAATACGATATTTAATATAAACTATGTTTTAGATCGAAGAAACGACGTGTTATTAATCTACGGAAAAATTGCACAGAAGATGAATCCAAACTAAAAACCAGCGAACCGGTGGTGGTATCTACGAAATATATTCATGTCATTTCGAATATTTCTTCCAAATTTTATATTTGTTATGGAAGGCGATATATTATAGAACATTTTTCGATAGTTACCTTTATGTCTCAATGGAGACACGACAGGTACCCTTACGAGGGGAGAGTATCAACCCTTGGCATCGGTAAACCCTTGTTGCAACCGGGGTAGCCGCCTGATTGGTTAGGTATATACAGTGTTTCTCATTTAGGAGAAAATTGTTGGCTATCTGTTCCCTTCATTTTTTGGGTAATATGTCGCGTTTCAGCAACGGAATTTGAAAAAAGTTTATATATATTTTCAAGTTTCTTATTCCATGTAACTTTCATGATTTCGATTATCAATATTCCAAATTAGAAATATATAATAACTATGTTTTAGGTAGATGAAGCGTGTTATCAATGAGAAGAGGAAACCAGACCAGAAACCAGCAACCGGTGATAAATTTTTCATTACTTTTTTGACAGTCACCTTCATGTCTCATTTAGTAATGTTCACTGGTGAGACTGAAAATGTTACCCCTAATAAGAACTTGCTAATTTCTGACAGAATTATAATCCATAGTATTGTGAGCACATGAGCACTCATGTTAATACTTATGATAGTTTCTGTTACTGAAATGAAAATGGATGAAGGTGAAGTATCTGTCCTACACTGTAGCTCATGAGTGGAGTAAAATTCCAGATCCACTTGAGATGTACCTAATGGAACAATGTGCAACCAGGAAAATTAAAATGCATTAACAGATTGATTAACAGTGACCCTTGTCCATGCATGGAATGATGCTCCTTCAGAATGTGGTACCACCAACTTCTGTGATCACTGGTCAGACCTACTGCTGAACATAGCCCAGTATAATATCTTCCATGGTAATACAGTTTCTTCATGCCTGACTATGGTCAACTTACCCTGATGAATTGGCAGAGTCAAATCTCTTAAAAGTATGGGTAACATTGTGCTTATCTCCATGGTAACACATATAGCATAAATCATAATCATAACATATCATACATTTATATCTCATTCCACTAATTCCCTGACTGTTGCACCCATCACATACTATATTTGGGTGCCTCACACCTGGAAGTTCAGTGGACATTAAAATATTGTTGACCAATCTATAAAACAAAGATTCCTCACCAATTTGTGCATTATCAATAATTCTCAGATCATATTTTCCATTGTAACCTACTCTGTAGTTGGTTCTGGCTCCATTGTCCCACTGAACTACTACTGTTTTGTCTGGGGAACCAACTGCACCAGCTTTACCAATTTCACATACTGTACCCACACTTCCTTCACCTCCATCTTAGAAAAAAATATTGAGTTGAGTACTTGAGTATCTACTGTATCATCAAACACATTCTCTCATGCAACAGAAAAGAGGAAAACCAGAGGGAAAAACCAAGAGAAATAACTATTTGGCAGAATAGCAGAACTAAATGGCATCATTCCCAGTGAACAAGAAAATTAGGTATTAGAAGAAAATTTGGTATTTTCTTAATTTTATAACAAAAACTTTACACATAGGTAATAACTTCTAGTAGGTACACTCATCTTCAGAGATCATGTAGCACATGAATGGTGTCAGCTCCCTTGATTACCTCTGTAATAAGAGAGCTCAGACAGTCCAACCTGTGACATGTTCACTGAAGACTAGTGTACACACAGTACTTGGTTCAATATGAGTTCAATAGAATTAATGGAATCAATATATTATACTAGGTGACTATTGTTTGAAGTGATAATGGAAAAACTATAATAATTCTTTGACTAGGTCCTATGAATTTGAATTCATCCATTTCCATTATTCCCAATGTCCTACCTTGGTTTCCCCAATTCCAATCGGGTCCTCTCACAATTCGTGCTCCAGGAGACAACATTACTGGCAAATCAATTAGTGCTCTAGCAACGCTCTTGCTACTAGCTAGAGGAAACTATTTCAGATTTTGCAATAAAAATTATTATATCTTTTTCACTCAACAACTCACAATATCACAACAATGAACTTGATAATAATAATAATAAAAATGAATTGAGAATTAATAAGGCTGTGTCTGAGTTGCCGGTCGCCGGCCGTGTCTAGGGTGTATACTGTGATGCTACTGCTAGCGTGAATAAATCCCTTTGATGAAATCTTGATAATTTCGCACATGAAGTATTTCCCGTAATAAAATTATTTTGTGCCGTTTCATTCGTCGGTAATATGCTCGCAAAAAAACATTGACGCGACCTTGAAGGATATAACTGAGATGTTTATAAGTTGACAAGCATCTTAGATATAACTCCTTGACCAAAACTTGGACTTGAACACCAAAATGATTTTTCAAGATAGATCAAATACCACGAATATCAATATGATATATCACGTGATGGTTTTTATGGAATGCATCTCAAGTCTGCACTTGAGACAGCTTGATCAAATGGAATTCGCCGCGCTCGTAGGCTCGTAGTTCAAACACATCGTGTGCCGCCAGCGATGTTTTTTGATGAATTTGTCTCAAAAATGACTTCGCAAAGACTCTACTTAGTCGCGGTGCCGCGGTGGTCTTGTACTCTTGTGATGTCAATATAGCTGGGTGTCACCAAAATCGAACCCAGCTCATCCTGAGCTTTCATTTACTTATGTATATGACCACTAGCCGGACGATTATCCACTGTCAATGATGACTTGATGACAAATGTCAGAAACATAAAATCAGAAATGTCTGAATCAGCTGTGCAAAACAAACAAAATACAAAAGTGTAATAATCATTATTATTTTCATAAAATAATAGAATCTGATTCTATTTTTTGGATCAGAAATTCAAAATATCCATAGTACGTATCTATGGTCACCCAATTAATTGTTCAACAGTGAAAATTAACATCTTATCAAGTGGTATTTTTCATGAAAGAAGCAATCAGCGATCTCAAAAAAAAAATAAAATGGGTAAGAAAATTTCAGTGAAATAACTTATATTTCATGATGAAATAACTGAAGTATTCATTTGTAGCTTTCAAAATGAATTACAGTTTTGAAGGAAATGCAAAAAATAGACCTGAACAGAACCTATCAGGTTCTGGGAGAAAGTTTACAAAGGACACTCTCTTGGAGAAAACACATGAAGAAAGACAAAAAAGACAAGTAAGTGAATTGAATACTTCTTGGCAACAACACTGTGATAAAATTGGTTAATTTTTAGGAACAGCGCAGGAAATTACAAAGTGCAGAAGTTCTCCAATCCCATATTCGAAGTTACATCTGTAGAAAACACAAAAAAGATGAAGAGAGGCAAATATTCAACCAAATAGAACATTTGGCACCTATTGAAGTATTACTGAGAAAACTATTATTCTTCTACAATCCTCAGCAAGATAAACATAAATTGGTGAGAACAAAAATAAAAAATTTAATAAGTCATACAATTTCAACATCCTTTCAGTTTTGTATGGCAGACAAAATCGTCACTAACCATGAATTGGTGATACAGAGAATGGATAGTGATGTGTCATTCTCATGGTTAATGAAAAGATACCTTTTTGTGTGCTTGAGAACCTTGAGTGAGGATGGAGATAACATGAACCTGATAAAATCACTTTACATATTCACAAATAGTGCTCATATATTTGAGTACCTTATAAGAAAAGGTATTACAAATTCAAAAATATTCAGAGTTACAACTTTTCATATGTTCTTTTAGACTATTATGGATACTTAGGAAAAGAAATGGAATCAGGAAGTGGCCACATGAAGGAAATTATACTACTGATAGAGAAGCCATTTAAATTTCTTCAAGAATCTGAAAGTTTAAATGATATTGCTCTAGCTGAATTTTGTCAGAAATTTTTGATCCCTACTATAACTGACAGAGTCCATAATAACTTGATAACTCACCTGAGGGAAATGGGTTTTCCCTATGACAGATTGATAAAATACTTGAATAGTGGTTTCCATTTCCAAGGAAGTGAAAGTTTACTGTTATGTGTTTTGCTTCTAGAACCTGATCAATATGGTAAGGACATGTAAGGATAATAAATTACTTATCCAATAGTTATACAGGTTATCCCAAAGTTGTTGGGACACAGAGATGCCACATGTAAAATAGGTCAAAATATATTAATTGGACCCAATTTAGTTATATTGGTACCTAAATATACCATTTGTCCATGAGAAGAGTTACAAGTATACATAAAAAACATTTTTTTGGGCTGTTCAGAAATCAGTGAAACAAATTTAATGAAATTTGAAATAAATGCATTTTAGGGGATTACCAGAAGGACTGAATTTACCCTCACACCCTGAATTCTTTTTCATAACATTCTTAAGAGTGATAATATGGTTCTCAATTTTTTTTAAAAGAAGGTAGATTAATTATCTTCATTTTGTTACTCTTGTAAAAACTTCCCATATTTTCCAAGAAAAAATTTTTTTCATGGAATAATGATTACTGATATTCCCATGCTACAAGTTCAATAACATAGTAGTAAACAATTCAGTTCACAGTGGAAACAAAGGCAGAATGTTTTTAACATAACATAAATGTTCAATATGATGGCCACCTTCATCAATACAAAGGTCAATTTGCCATAAAAAATGGATCACCTGTTTTTTCAGCTAAACCCAGATACAGATAAATGGTACATTTTGGTATATAACTAAATTGGGTCCAATCATATTATTTTGACCTCTATTACAGGTAGCTCTGTGTCCCAGCAATTTTGGGACACCCTGTATAATCTATAATTTTCATCAATCTTATAGGTAGGTAACTTCATCAAATGGTTTGTTCATGTTTTTTTTTATGTTTTCAACATGTCTAATCAAACTGAATTAATTGCCTTCAAGTTGAATAGAGATACTAAACACCAAAATATGAAGATTTAGCCCAGCATGAATTATAAAAATAATGCTAGTTTAGGCGTTTAAAATTATATATTTTTCAGTGGTGTTATTTTTGATTGTCACCATTATTCCCTTTTTTATCCAGGGTCACTATGATATCTTCATAATTGGAAATAATGAAAATAAAACTGGAACACAGATCTTTTCAATAGCCAGAAAAACATTCAGAGCTAGACAATTTAAAAAATAGTAATTTTTTTATAAACGGGCTTGCAGATTTTCAACAATCTCAACTCATTTTTACTATTATTAATTGATAGACAAAAAAGATATGATAGTGCCACTAGCACCTGCTATGAGCCATCACCAAATACATTACAAATTCATATTTCTCATGTCAGGAAACCTAAATAATCTACAAAATTTCATGTTCACGTTGTTGAAACTTAAAAAGTTATTGAGCAATTTTGAAATAAAATCTTTCCATTGAACACCCTGTATCTCCTAGACGAGTAACGTTTCAATAAAGCATGTTAGGCAAAATTTCCATTCTTTGATGTTTACTATCTGTTGTTCAAAAATTGCCCATTCTCAATGAATCACCCTGTAGAATGTACTTGGTTAAAGTGTGTAGACAACAACTATGTTCTATGTAGGCTTTGTTACTGACTCCATCCGCCGCCTTAGGAGCATCACTGTTTAGAATGCAGCAGTGAATTGGGCGGACCCTTCTCTGGTATATGGCTTCCTAAACTTCAAAATATATAACTGGCACACAATAGCCGGAAAACCATAAATAACAACAAAAACGACAAATGTCCTATCTTACTAGAATGAATAATGATCACTTGTTTATCATGTTCGTCTTGAATTCATTCCTTTTCACTATTTTGTTGTGTACCTTACAATAACTAATAAGTTTTCAATTATTGGTATGAGTTTATGACACTAATATTGTTAATTGTTATGGTGTGGGTACATTATTATGTCGTTATAAAACTTGTTCCATCTTTTGTCGTAAGCTATTTATATGGAATAATCCTCTTGCATTGTCGATTTGGCAGCGGTTCCACTTTCATAAAAACCATTTTCAAAGACAAGCTTTTATAAAAATGCACACACACACACACACACACACACACACACACACACACACACACACACACACACACACACACACACACACACACACACCGACACACACAATGACAGACAGACAACGGTTCAGGGAAAATGAATAAAATCTTGTAATTGAAAAAAAATATCCGACACCAACAGCCCCCACATACCAATTTTGAATATAATCGGATCATAACCACAAAAATCATCCGCCATTTTGAGGCCGCCATCTTGAATTTCGCAATTATGATGGACGAATCATAATTTCTGACCCAGAAAACCTCCCAGATGCCAATTTTGAATAGAATCGGATCATTATTACAAAACTCGGTCGCCATATTGGATTCTGCATCTTGAATTTCCCAATTTTTATGAAAGAATCATGATCTCCGACCCTGAAAACCCCCCACATACAAAACTTGTCCGCCATATTAGAGCCCGCCATCTTCAATTTTCCAATTTCGACAGAAGAATCATAATTGCCAACCCCAAGAACCACATATTAATATAATCGGATCATAATTACAAAACTCATCCGCCATTTTGGAGCTGCCATTTTGTAATTTTCTCTATCAAAAATTTCTTGATGCATAGTCACCAAAATTATGTGCACTCATGTCCAGATTTCAAATCGATCGGACGATTAGAAGTGTCATATTTAGCATGTAAGATTTGCTTACCAGGGTAGGTGAAAGTGAATAAAAGCTTGTAATTTTGTAAAAACAAATTTAGAAAAATTCCACTAGTTACTCTGAGTACTAGTATGGCAACTCCAATTTAGTGGACAATTCTTTTCAGATCCTAATTTTGACAGCCTACGGGTGATATCAAAACTCAGTGCCACTATCCATGAAGTAAGTTCTTCAATAAATTGTTATCGAAAAGCCGATAGTGATGATGAATTTGAATTTGATGAGACTGACCAAGAACGTCAGTTTTTGTTAGATGAATATATGAGCATACTAAACAAATACGGGAGAGTCAAGAAATTCCTGAATTTTTTTGAACGTCACTCTGAGAACGAACAAGTTGTAATTGATTTCACACATTTGTGTCACAACCTGTTGCTGGTCTATAAGGATGCAGTGAGAAAATATTTGTGAGTATCTATTCAGATTTGGTGATTAATTCGTACATTTCATTATTGTCATTTTTAGTTTGTTATATAAAATGGGTTTGAACAGCACCTACCTTAGAAAACTATGGACATATCTTAACTCAAATCAGTCTGGACAGTACCAAGCCAAAGGATCATTGATTTCATGGAGAGAATATCACACTTACTTGGCCGTTTTTTGTGATTTGTTCACTTTCTATACTGAAACATTGACCGATAAAGGTAAAAGTTTATCATGATGAATACAAAATGAACTTACGTTGTTTGCTTTTTTTAAGAAAATTCCGATACCAGTGAAACTTTTTCTAAAAACGATCTTTTATCAATGTCCAAATTGCTCAAAAACGTGGCAAGGGGTCTTATCGAGGTAGCCTTTCCAATGTGCAGGTCGAGTGGAGTAAGTAAAGCTATGCGATTGTATGCATATCTTCGATCTTTAATATTTTTCAGATTCCATCGACTCCTGAAGTCCTTCATTTATATAGAGCATGCCTGAGTTCTCTACGAATGTTATATATGTTGGATTTAAGGAAGCAATTTTGTCCTCTTGGCTTTTGGACGTCTGAAAAAATACATATACCGCCTGATTTATCAAGGAAAAATTATTTATTCAGGAATTATAGTTCATCGTTCAATGGCGCAGGATCAGATAATATAGATGTAGAAGGTTATTGATAGTTCAATTATACATAGGTTTAAATTTCCTAGATTCAATTTATATCCCTCCGTTGTATTGAAGAAATATTTATGAAGATCAACGACCAATGACTAAAATGTTCGTAACATAATTTTTCAATTTCTTTAGATGATGAACATATGCCCCCACTATCGACAATTGAACAGCGCTCCCTAGCAATTCTAGCGGAACTACCATTCCTAATCAATTTCAACACCAGAGTTTTGCTTTTGAGAGACCTATGTCGGAATAGTTTAGGAGAATCCAACTACCAAAGACTGCATAATGAAATAATGAATGATAATGTTGTCGTCATCAGAAGGACACATCTGTATGAAGATGCTTTTGATAAAATTTCATCCAAGAGTGGTATGTTAAATTAATTCGTTTAGGAGTAATCTATAAATGTGTTACTTACTTTTGTCTCTTTGGAAATCATTGAATTCACGTCGCAATTCAAAATCAAATTTCAACTAGATAAATTAATCTTATTTTTTCCAGATTCAGATTTAAAACATAAAGTCCGAATAGTATTCATCAATACCGTGGGACTAGAAGAAGTAGGTATAGATGGGGGTGGCATTTTCAAGGAGTTCATCAACGAGGTCCTGAAAACCGCATTCGACCCCAACAGAGGTTTTTTCACCCTGACAGCTGATAACACCCTGTACCCAAATCCCAATGTCCACCTAATCGTAGACAATTTCACTGATCATTACTACTTCATAGGAAGGCTTGTTGGAAAGGTGGGTCTAAACAAAAATATTTCATTTTTATTTGCCGATAATGATCATAGAACAATGAGCATACAAAATTGAACCCAACATAGCAACGCCACTGTACCATCCCGTTACCATATGGTTACATAGGCTTATTTCGATTTATGGGCATCAGTGATGGTGTTATAGAAACTCCATAATATTGACTAGTGTTCCATTTGTTTTGAGAAAAAAATATATTATACAGGGTGTTTTGTGATTGTGATATGAGGGAACCATAGAGCGATAGTTATTGGTATATAAAATGACTTTCTACAGATAATCAGGAGGGGGCAATTGCCCCACTTAATCAGGGTGTTTGTGATGGGTGGAAGATAATGCTTTACATAATACAGGGTGTTTCATAATTGAATGCTGATCCTCAAGGGCGATAATCCTTGGATGATTTCAAAGAGAAAAGTTCATATCAACATATGTCTTAAACCTCTTAGCTATTGAGCTACAGGGTGATGAAATTTCAAGAAAAAAATTAGTTTTTTATCATAATTTTTTATCACTCTTAGATGTTGTTATGATATTTTGTATACACCTTTTCATTATGAAGGAGCATTTTTTTACGTGAAAGATATTCAAAAATTCTCACCAGTGGCGTCCGTACGGGGTTTGAACTGACAATTTTTGAAGAAAAAAAATAGTACGCCACTGATTTTTCTGAGAACCAGTTTTTTTTTTCAATTCCTATTCATTTTGGAGCAAAGGTTTCTAGACTTACTTTCATACAACGTACCGTTTTCACGTAAAAAAATAAAAACCAAAGAATTTTGTTCCTTCAGTTCTTGGATATTGTTTTTGGTAATTCAGTAGACACCCACTATAAGTGGAAACACATTTTGTTTAGGGACGAAGATCAAACTTTTACTTTTACCAGTGATGTCCTCGTAGACCTGATATTGAATGTTTTGTTCAAAAAAACGCTGTACGCTTGTGATTTCAACACCCTGTAGCTCAAAAACTAAGAGGTTCAGGACATATGTTGATATGAACTTCTCTCCTTAAAATCAACCAAGGATCATCGCCCTTTAGGATCAGCATTCAATTATGAAACACCCTGTATATGCCTATAAGAAAAAATATGGTACCTATTTTTTGCAAGTGATATGTTGCTTCCACTTTTGAAAAATTGGAAAATGTGTTCTCTGATCACCCGTTTATTGTATTATATTGTGAGAACATGATAAGTTTCCCTGTAAATTTCAGAAAGGATAACTTATGTGCGTTCCCTTAATTTCAGGCTATCTTCGAGAATATCTTAGTCGATCTTCCTCTAGCAGAGTTTTTCTTGGCAAAATTATTGGTAGACAGAGCATCAGCTCACTATTTGAAATCTTTGGACCCAGTGTTGTACAGAAATCTTTTATATTTGCGAGATTACAATGGAGACATAAGCGATTTAGGGCTGGATTTTACTGCAGTCAGTAACGATTTAGGGGAAACGAAGGTCAGTATAAGCAGGGCCTACTCTATCGCAGCGGTCCGGAGCATCGCTTTCGTGATGTCACACTAGTAGGGACAAAATCGAGGCGCTGGAAATTGCGTTTCCCAATTCATTGATGTACCACGGGAAAACGGTAACAGTTATCATAAAATGTCAAGAGATAAAATATGTACAGACTCGAATTATTCAAGACAGGAATCAATATTCACTGATTTACGATTATAGCTTATCAAGGTGAATTGACTACATTCGGAATTGTCGTTTTTCAAACAGCTGCTGGAATTTCAATATTCAATTCACAGAAATGATTCAACCATGCAAAGGCTTCTCATGGTATCTAGATTGATTGTAATTTTTTTCAAAATTCCCAAGAGCCAATAACAAACCTATATTTCAATTCAAGTAAAATGGCGATTCAGATGATTATTACAGACTAGTTCTAAAAGTTAGACGGCCCCCATGCTAAACCTATTAATTGTGGATATATGCTGTCACTGACTTTTTTGTAGTAAATTTCAATGCCTACAACCCAGCCAACCATGAGATGTATAAGTGATGTATACGCCACATCATTTTGTGACATGCGATATCGCATTTGAAATCACAAACATGTTACCGATACAACGTGGCGATGTGAAAATGTCCGACTCAAGCAACATCACTGTGACGTCGTTCAGGCATGAAATGGGACATCACATGAAAAATCACTACCAGGTCACATACAAGTGTACATTTCATATTACAAATACATCACACTGCGACATCGATGATGTGGTCGCCGTACCTGTGATATTCGTGGGATATATATAATAATAATACTTATTCAACTTTACGAAGAAAATGTTTATTTTCCGAAAGTAAAAACAGATGATACAAAACTTATCATTACAATCACCCTAATTAGTAATCTTGAAGTAAAACATGACACATATATATAGCAATACAAATATACATTATTCATAAATTATACATATTAAATACACTTACATTATTTTGGGATCTTTCATCCACCTTGTTTCAGATTGCAATATTCCTATCTCAGAGATAATTACAATATTACCTATTGTGATTGTACTCACCGTCGTTCCTAAATGATTGTATACCTCCAATTTGAAGCTGCTATAATATGTGCTATAAATCATCTCAGATATTTCAACAGAGAATTTGGAAGGAAATAGTCTGTACGGAGTCGGACTCACTCACTGACTGACTGACTGACTGACTGACTGACTGACTGACATGGCCATGCACAGCTCAACATGGCGTCTGGCGTGTGCATTCGTTTTGCGCATGTCTGCGTCACACTCACAGGTCACAAAGATATCTCATGAGGATATCAATGTGAATTAAGAGATGTAGTTTGAAGAAGTCGCTGCCACATTACATAGTTTCCTGGTTGCGATGTCACCTTGCGACGTTTGATATTGAATCTACGTCAATAAAATGTATTAAAGAGATATTGCATTTATGCAAGGTTGTTACATCATACAGATGTTTATGTCACACGATGGTTGGCTGGGAAACTGATATGATACACTTTTATCTGAAAATAACCATATTTATGTTATTTCTGAAAATAACCATATTTATGTTTTTGCGCATGCGTAAGTATATCTTAGATGCATTTCTATGAACGACCCAAACTTGCTTACGATAAAATTAAATTGAATATTAGTTATTTATATGAACATCACCCTCGTGGATTGAATAATGATGGAATTGTAGTGAAAAAATTGTGATCTTTTGCAGATTACCGAGTTGAAACCAGGTGGCGCGAACATTCCAGTGACGAACTGGAATCGCCTGGAATATATCCAGAGATTGGCGGATTTGAAACTGAATGGACAGATGAAGAAGCAGTGTGGGGCCTTCAGGCTCGGACTCAATAGTGTGGTACCCATTTCTCTGCTGAAACTTTTCAGTCATAAAGAATTGCAAGTTATTATCGGCGGGGATAATCAGGAAATCGATCTGAGCGATCTGAGTGCACATACTTTGTATGGAGGTATTTTATTTTCGATGGTTTTGAAAATGTGTTTGGGATGAATGAAGTTTTTTTTAGGGGAATTTACGGCGGATCATCCAACAATTGTTTTGTTCTGGAAAATCCTGCATAGATTTACAGATTTGCAGAAGAAACAGTTGTTGAAATTTGTGACTAGTTGTTCAAGACCTCCATTATTGGGTTTCAAGGTAATATGCAGTTCAAGCATTCAAATTTTTTATGCAATTATTCGAAAAACTTACACATGTTTGTTGATAGTGTTGATACATAAAAAGTCTGTTATTGGATTAACCAGTTATTTTTTTCAGGAATTGAATCCCCAATTTTGTATTCAGTCTTCTGGAACTGAAAATAGAATGCCCACAGCAAGTACCTGTCTGAATTTATTGAAAATTCCTATCATCACTGAGGAGGAAACTCTTAGGAATAAATTAGTATCAGCCATCGAGCAACAGGCTGGTTTCGAGCTCTCCTAATCTTATTATCGTACTTGACGTTATTTTTTTTGGTTGATTGTATTTTATTATTTTGTTTTATTATATAAACTCTAATGTGATTTCCTCTTAAATCTTGTTTTCTTTCATGATGTATTTCGTCATTCCCACCATATGTCCCATAAGAAGAGAAGCTAAAACTAATCGGACATAGTTTCAATGTAGTTGAGAGACCCATCAATAATCTCATGTTCCTACCATCAGTCCTTCTGTGATTTAATACTTTCATATATCTCCTTTTCCTACTCAATAGTAATCAGGAAATCCTAAATTGATGTTAATTTAATAAAAATTTCAAGTATTTCATTATTTGTGATAGATATATTGAGATTTTGTAGGTACATTAAGGCCATTATTATACAACGCATGATAGCATTATATAGCATTTCATAACATTTCGATCGACATATACAGTGTCATTCATAAAGTCGGCATCATATGGGAAAAACTTTTATTAATGTCTTATTTTGGAATTCGAGTTGGACGTTGAGTTTTGCTTCAAAAACGATTGAAAATGGCCTACTCAATCGGGGTCGCGTGACTTTCGGAACATTTTTTTAATCTTTCAAAATTTCTGTAATATTTGAAGAATTTTGTTAATTTCACGAAACTACTTCATACCAGTAAATTTTTCATGCTTCTTACTTTCAATTACTTATTATCACTGATTATCGACAGAAATATGATTTTCTTCAGAAAATCATAATACCCGCTTCCAAATTCTGTTATGTTTGATGCAAAGTTGATATATCGTCAAGCATTTAGAAACGAAATTCATTTAAACTGATCTTTTCAGTACTGAAAAAATGAATTGCATCAAACATAACAGAATTTTGAAGCAGAGATTATCATTTTCTGAAGAAAATCATATTTTTGTCGATAATAAGTGATAATTAGTAATTGAAAGTTAGTAGCATGATGGAGCTACTGGTATGAAGAGGTTCTATCGAATTTACAATTTTTTAATATTACAGAAATTTCGAAATTTTTTAAAATATATCGAAATCTAAAAAATGTAATAGAAAGATAAAATCCGAGTCACATAATTATGTAAAATTGAAATAGAAACAACTTTTTCAAGTAAACTTTTTCGATATTCGAACAAATAAGCCTACTTTCAGCGATTAATTTGAACAAATGTCACTTTTGACATGTAGAGAGAGTCACGTGACCCCGATTGAGTAGGTCATTTTTCATCTTTTTTGAAGCAAAACTTGACGTCCAACTCGAACTTCGAAATAAGTCATTAATAAAAGTGTTTCCCATATGATGCTGACTTTATGAATGACACTGTATATACAGATGATAGTATAAATGTATGTTCCTACATATTTTGAGATTTGAGAACTGCTGATGAACAAATTGATAGATATTGTTTGAGTACCTATGTGACTGATCATATTTTGCAGTATCTCTCTCAATTTCCTCATTCATTATATAGGGTGATTCAATATTCGATGTAAATATTTCAAGGACGTATTGTTGGGATATAAAAATAAGACTTTTTACAGTATTGCACGCCTGTGGAATAGTACTTCCAAATGCGTTCCGACATACGATGACCACTGTATGCAAGCATTTATATAACCCATTGCGATGTCGTGACTTTCCCTTTCGTTGATAATAATTTTCTGGCAAACAGTTGTATGAAAAAATGCAAGAGACCGAATTCTTACATTTTTTAATGCCCACAAGATATTCAAAGTCGGAGTTCTCTTTTCGAACACAAAATTTGGGCCAATAGAAGTGTGGACCCCCCCCCCTCCAACTCCCTCAAAACTGGGTTTTTATTATTTTTGTTTCAGGAGACCATGAAATGATGAGTGAACTCATTTCAACTGTAACGATGAGACTACTAATACATAATATACGAATGTCCCATTTGAAAAAATCAACTAGCACCCTGTAGGCCGTTTGTTCCGAGTACCTACCCTATATTTTCTGATGTAGCGTATAAAATATTCATCAAACATTATTTCAAAAACGATTCAAACTTTGGGATCGGTTAAAAAAATAATTGAGCTAGAAGGGATTATGGCATATTGGCATATTATAATTGGGTAATAAAACTCATATCATGATTATGTTATATATTTTCATGGCCGAATAAATTGTTTTTTTTTTCAGCAAATAATAAACATTTAAAACTTCTACGCCAATGAAAATAAAAGAAGACCCAGTTCGCAAGCTTTTATGTAAAAACACACGAGTGAATAAGTGCTCCCAAGGGGGGGCGGGGGGCGAGTAGGGGAAATTTCAAAAACTTTTCATCGTGTATTTTCATGAGATAAATTGATTTTTGAGAAAATTGAGATGATTTGACTTGCAAAAATAGAACAGAATCAGAAACTTTTTATCGAGTAGTTCGATGAGCTGAATCCAGATATGCAATAAAAACAACGATTTGTTTCCTGGAAATAGCCAGTCTGTAGCATTTTATTCCAGTTCGCAAATTATACACAACCTGAACTTTGGGACACCACGTGACTCAGAGCATACATATGCATGACCCCTCTCGTGCATAATTTGATTAAACAATTTAAAATGAGTTCATGAAAATCATTAAACGATTCATAGTAGTATGGTAATGAATTGACAATATGAAATATTGACAAAACTTCTGGATTTTTCTCAAAAAAAAAAAAAAATAAATGTCCACTCTAGTGAACGTTATGCATTTCCCATCATGATAATTAATTTATCTCCGACTGGGAAGATAATGATCGGAACAATCCAGGACAGCAGAGTTCATATCATACTATTTTTTCACCGTTTTTTCGATTTTTGACAAAGTTGCGTTCGGCGCTCAAGGTCACAAACTTGGATTATTCATTATGTCAACATCATGAACAATAAGTCTGCAAAAAATCAGAACTACTGGATTTGACGCATACTGTGATGTACCTATAAAGTTACTGGATTATCACGGCACCAGTTATCCCCAATCCCAGGCCGATCGTTCCCATCCTACCACGACAACGTCGTATCTATAGCAACGAGGATTCCCGTCGGTCCCGTCTGCCGCGACGTTCGATTGCCGGCGTCCCCGCGATTGGATTTTGAATTTCGAAGAGTGAAGAGTGCAGCAGCGTCGGCCTCGGACGATGAATCGCCGTCGCATCGTTCCCGGACATTTTTCCCACGGGGAGACTCTTTTTGTCGGCGGACCCTTTCCGGGAAAAATATGGTAGAAGGATGGTGCGTTTCGCGAACAGAACCGGCGTGCGGCATCGAAGTAGGGATCTAGTCCTGGTCGACGGGTTGGCCAAGATGAGCTTGAGAAACGGGAAGATGGAAAAGACGGAGGGAAAAGGTAAGAAATGTGTGCACACGATCGAACACCCTATTTTGTGAAATCATCATGTTACCATCAAGAAATCATAATATGAAATCTCACGAAATCATCGCATGTTATCACCAAGAAATCATAATAGGAAATCTCAGAAAAGCATCATGCATATAATCACTATGAAATCACCATGAAATTTTCACAACATTGTAAATATATGATGAAATCACCTTGAAATCCATTAAATACCAAGATATTACCATGAAATTCTATGAAGTCATCGTGAAATCCATGAAATCACCATTAAATCACATAATTTTCACAAACTTTTACGAGATCACCATTTAGGAAAACATGTAAACTAGTGGGACAGGCTCTCAATATCAGTGGTCACCTCATCGGAATTGTGAAATCAACATAAACTCCACGAAATCCCAAGAATTCACCATGATATTTCATGAAATCACCATTACACCTCATGCAATCACCATGAAATCCCATGAAATCACCATAACATTCCATGAAATCTCATATAATCACAATGTAGAAAATCATGTAGGAAATCAGTGGGATAGGCTCACTACTATCCGTGGTCACTCCATCGGAATTGTGAAATCAACATGAAATCCATGAAATCATCATGAAATTCCAAGAAATTACCATGATATTTCATGAAATCATCATCATACCTCATTCAATCACCATGAAATCCCATGAAGTCACCATGAAAATTTATGAAATTTCATGTAATCACCATGTAGGAAATTATGTAATCAGTGGGACAGGCTCATCATTCAACCTCATTTAATCACCATGAAATCATCATGAAATCTCCCCCCTTACAGTTCTCGTGAACCTAAACGACAATTTTCGCTCGACTACAGCACCGTCGGAATCGATATAACTGCATAGCGAAAATTGCATTGCACGAATTCCATGGAGATTTATTCATTGATGAAATAGTAACAATTTTAAAAAAATATGTCATTGTATGAATCGTTTCTTCCATTTATTGCCTATACATTAATGCTGCCTGTAAATGTATCGGGGGGATGGGATATTAATTTCTCGAAATTTTTGGGACAAACAGAAACAGATCATTTTATTCCTGAATAAAAACACGGAAAACAGACATGAAAAAATTGCGAGACCGTAAGTCGAGCCATTTTATACGAAACCGTAGAAAGGCCATCACTGTTTTGTGTATTATATGGGTTCAGACTTTTATCTCTGAATTTTGACTTTTTCCTCTAAATTCTGACTTCTCTGAAACAGGGTCTTAAAGAAGGAAACTCGAAAAAATCACGAGCGCGTTTTCCATGCAGAAGAAATGAAGGTTCCTACAGGATTTTTTTGCAGGATGGCCCTTTATTTCCGTTATATATACATGGTGCAACTCCTGAAACAAATTTTGTTTTATAACTGTAATGGAATGCTTGAGCACATTTAATTCTGGTACATCCTTAACTCACTTTTCATTCATAATCATACCGGCATGCGAACAATATCACTAAAAAAATATCCCTGATGCAATCCTCAGATAATCATCTGCAACCACGGACAAATGTTTTGATATTGCATTCATGCTTAATTGTTGAGATGAATTGACTATATCATATCACATCAACTTCATCAAAATTACTATTTATAACGACAGTTGTTATCAAACAAAATGCTTTCTTGAAGTTGCACCCTCTGTATAGGAAATAAAGCTATTTAGAAAGTTTGATGTTTTTCCTTACAACTAGGTGAAAAAAAAAAATCTTTCCTTATACAAGACGTTCTTCTTTCTTTAAAATAATAATTTCATCACTCGATTATTTCACGCGAAGGATTCAAATAAACCGAATAAGATAAAATTATACTCGCCGACTTGTCGTGATTCGTGATTTCTATCATTCGCTTTTTTCTTAATATCGTTGCCATATAAATGAGATTTCATAGAAACTAAGTAAAAATGTGCCTTTTAAAAACTTTATTCGTTAATTTTTATGTTTTGGAGAGAGCTCTCTCCTCCTTCGCGTTCTGGTAAACCTATAGAACATTTCAATATAACCTACTTGTGCAATTTACTGGTTTTGAACTTTCAAGAAACAAATTTGATCGATTTATGAACGAAGCAGAGTAGTGAAAGACGAAATATAAATATAGGGCCATGAACATCCAGTGCTATATATATATAGTGCTATTCATTTTTCAGTTTCAGACTTGTGGTGCCTTTGGAACTTGATAATCATTTTTATTCTAACCCTCTAATCATTTTTATATTTCCCAGTGACAAAAAAAATATATATATACATTCCCATATAGGCACAACCCCTTCAATGTGCGCTTATAACTTCGGCATAACTATACCCAAACACGCTAAAAGACGATAAATCTATTCATTATTCATGGTTAAACAGTTAATCTATGATAATACCGAGGATAATACTGATAATACACATATATATATGCCTCGCATAGTTATTGTAATTTTGAAAAGTGACGGTTCATTCCGAGGTTCATTCACACATATATAGTACTCTGAAAAAATTAAAAATACTTCATCATCTATACCTAACAGCATAGCGTAGTAGGCATTTGAACTTTTTGATTTGTTTTTCTAAAAGAAAACCTGACAAACACCACCAAAGAAAAAAAAGTATAGACTGGACAGTTCTCCATTCAAAATAATTATTTTGGAGGGAGACTGCCACACTCATGCATTTAATTTCGAATAACATTCACTTATTTCCACTGTGAGCGAATTTCAAATAATTTAAAATAGTTACAGAGTTAATAAATAGCTAATGTAGGTTGCCAACACCTTATGCAATTTTCAGATTCTAGGTTATTAACACTCGAATTGGCATCTAACATATAATCAAAAACCAAAATAGGTTAGTTTTGATCGTCCTTGTTGAAAGTAAATTATACCTACCACGACTCGTACCAAGACATCAACAAAAATTTTTATTCTAATGACAATTTCACTTATCTCCATCTGACCCATCTCAAACCAATGACAACTTGCATTGCCGTGAAAACACTATAGGGGTCGTTCTAATTGGTCTATAAGCGTTGGTATTTTCAGCAATGTAATCATCTCGGTAACCGTGGACATACCAAAGCAAAGTCTCACAGATTGACATGAAATAATTATAGCTGTAGATGTCAGAATTAATCGATTTTGTTAAATTGAATATTAGCTATTTCAATATTCATGTTTATAATAAATGCTTCTCAATACCGCTCTATTTTGAATATCTTCTCATAAATCTGTCTCTCATCGATGTTGACTAAACTGTATTGGCGGACTCGTGGTCACAGATTATCAAACCTTATGGTGTTGCATAGGACAGGGCGAAATTCATACCGTCTCCTCCACCAAAACTATACTTCATTGTAAGCAAAATTTTCGGGATTATGGGGACTTGTTTCGAGACTTTAAAGCTTCATCATCAGCATTTAGTTACATATAGGAGCACAAAAGTAAGAGAAAAACAGAGAGCAAACCCTTCATCAACGACAGTTCTAATAAAACACCTGTTCTGGAGGAAAAGATTATGGTCACATAACTTATTACAACAAATATTAAACATTCATTAATTCCTCTACTTAGTTTGTGAAAAAGGGACCGTAATTGTTGCGGATCACTTACGTTAGGGAACTATTTTTTTTAACATTGTGAAAATCCAATTGGGATCAAATTGAATTGAAAAACTATCTTGTTATATTCTTATTGTTGATCATGCCGAAGGCTTAGACAAGAAATGAGAATAATGAGATGTCAAATATCAAAACTAGATGAATGGAATGACGCAAGAAATTATCTCGAATGTCCAGAACTTCGTGAAACCACTCTTCAACATCTTTCATGAAAAAATGAACGACTGAAAAGTTACAGGGGCCACAAGGGGTGGCCATCTCGTAATAATTGTTATTTGTACACCTTGGTAGTAAAGAATATCATTATTATACCCAGGTCCCGTGATAATAATATTCTTTCCTACCAAGGTGTATATCACTTTTTTTTCACCACTAGCAATATATTTCAATCATTATAGTTCTGTCAAACTAATTTTTCGACCAATGTCCTGGAATACTGTTCCCATATTTGGAGTGCAGCACCCTAACATCCCCTGAAACTGTTGGATTCTGTCCAAAAAAGGGCAATTCGTTAAATGGGTGATGCCTCGCTCAGAAACTCACTCACTTCTCTGGAACACAGTAGAAAAATTGGCGATCTGGCTCTCATAGATATTTTCATGGACGATGCTCTTCTGAAATATCAACAATTGTTCCTCCTTTGGCAGTCCCCGCGAGATTAACCCGTCGAGTTGAGGCTTCGCACCCTTTCGTGGTCACTTTGGAGACCTGCAGAACATCTCTTTCCAAAGACTCGTTCATCCAACGAACAGCGAGGCTCTGGAACACATTGCCAAGGGAGGTGTTCCCCGATGCATATAACCTCAAGAAGAACACCAATTCCTACCTTATTTCCTTTGGTTCTCACGATGTTCGCTGAACATTACAGGATATCCCTTTTCGTGGGAACCATACCTACTAAATTTGAGTGCCATTCCTGTGAATATCGCATCAGAACAGTGAATTCGGGTTGTAACAGAGGACAGAGGTGGCTATGTCTTTATCGACTAGTAGTTCATAAAATGACGAAAACTACCTTGGTACTAAAAACAGACTTTACGCCTTCGAAAGTATTAGATAATGGCAGGTTTCATAGCTAGTGGTGGAAAAAAATACAAACATGTTTAAAACAGATCTATTCGCAATATGGATGTATAAACACAGAACTTCTCGAATTTGCGAAAGTGAATTTCTCTGTTCAGGTAGGTACGTCACAAAACCGAACACAATCGATAGTGGCAGTATCGATTAAATAAACTGGAATATGAGCGTGTTTAACATTAACGTTGCTTTATTGATTCATAAACCATAAACTGGCTATTTTAGTGCAGCCTCCATGCAGCAAATGCATTTTCCATCATGGAGCAGTTCAAGAGATTATTCATTGATGAGATTCAATTCGAAGAAACAAATCAAATCTATCAAATGATTATTGTCAATTAACCATCAGATAATGGATTCTACCGATTCGAAAACGTAATGAAACAATATAATAGCAAAGTAGAAATTAAAGTTTCGAAATTGGTTATCAGATTGAGAAAATCTATACCTATCACCCTATTTCTTGAAACAATAATGGATAAAAAATGTCGATTCACCAGAATTTTAGGATGGATATGAGAATGAATATCTCAGGGATGAATAAGTGAAACATTGAAATAATATAAAAAATAGTGATACGTATAGTAATACTATAGCACTTGCCGAAGAGGGCATTTCAGAATGAATTGGCCAGACATGAACGTTCAAGTTCAAGACAGGGTGTTATTTTATTATCACTATAAAATTTTTATTTTTCTAATATCCGTCACATACCTAGTCGATTGATTGGAGGATTTATGATTATATATAGTTCATACATTGTGTTATATATGTATAGAGAATATAGGTATTACTAAAAATTGCTATATCTCTTTTCGTTGAGTCTGAACAAATATTTAAGTAAAATGTTGGTAGGTACCTATAACAAAATATTATTTGTTAAAACTTCAAAGAACCTCAAGAGCTATAAAATGTGCCACATATAAATCATATTCATATAAATCTTTCCATGAAAAATAAATATTATATCGATACTTATAAGAGAAAAGTAATTCGAATGTTATGGTAGATAGGTACACTTTGGGAAATCCGAAACAGTAATAATAACGCTCAGTTCGTGCCTGAAAATCATCCGCTGTCCAATGTGGTCCAATGTACAGCCTAATATCGGCCTAATATGAAATTTTCCATTTTTTCATAACGAAAAAAAAATATATTTGATTTCTCTTTGTACAGTTTTACTGAGCTCAGGAGCTCACCATTTAATATATCGAAAACTTGACCCTTTGGCACGATAAATCTACTACACTGTTTTACCACTAACCAAACCGATTCTTTACACGCCGTTTCGCTAACTATGTTAGCTTCTTCAGGAGACGATTAGAACTGAATATCCTATACTAGTGTGCCACCTATACCATATTCGTCAACATATCTTAAACATGTGTGAAGGCAAAAATATAGCCTAGAAGAGAACACTAGAGAATTATTTGTAAATATTCAACAACAATGAACTTAACATGTCTAATATTCATTTTATTTCTTTTCAGTTGCATTCCAGTATGTTCAAGAAAAAGTGGATGACACGAATAGAGACAACAAAATCAATGAGACTGATTTATTGTTCCTCAAAGAACTGATGGACAGCCCCTTATTAAATGGCGACAGGGTAAGTAAGTATATGAACGTTTCTCATGCAAATTTTTGTACCAAAACGAGTGTTGCCAGTTGCCAGATATTAGTTTTTTTACGGAGAAATAGATAAGGTTTTCTTGGAAAAATATCTGCAAAATATTATTATTATATTATAGGACATGTTTATATTGTCCTATATGCCTGGTCGAATTGAATGAAAACACATGCTACCATATAAGTTTCTTTTGAAATATGACTTCGTTTACAAGTTATTTAAGAGGTGGTTTCATAAATTAATTATTATCTACATTATCACTACATTACAAATTCAAAAAAGATAGAGTAGGTATAGAGGAACAATGGCTGTGTTCATAAATACATTCACATTACACTAAGCCACTAACAAGTTGGGCTCGTCTGATCTTTTATAATTATAAATGTATAATGATAATGTAATCATAATGATTTTTTTAAGAAACCACTTTTGCAAGTGTATTGAAAATGTTACGTTGCAGTGACGTATCGATGAATAAGTCTTGTCGACGTCACTTCGACGTCACCGTGGTACCGATGAGGTGAGTGATTGACATAAACATAAAATGTGAGTAACATTACGTCATTATGTGACTTATTCAGGCCATTTTCCATATCATTTCGTTACCTGGGTGATTGTGCATGTGTATCCCTAGTCATGTTTCTTCTGAAAAGTGAAAGAACACTAGACTCAATAATAAATGTTTATTGTGGAGTAATGACTCCGTCCCATTACGACTATCTCGAGTAGGTATATACCTATACTAAGTAAATGAAATCCATTAACAAGAAATAGGAAAAAGTTCTCACAATTTGACGACATTGTCTCGTCAGCGGTAATTGCACCAGTACAATTTTCTCTATTAAATTACAGTTTGTATAAGTTGAAAATTATAAATAAATAACAATGTATTCACGTAGTTAATGAGTCATCAAAAGAAATAATTATGTCTCATGTGAATGGAATTTGCCAATGATCTTATTCTTGTTTTCCTAATAATGAGGGGTTGAATACCTATAGTATATTATGTAGAGAGTACCATTTATGAATAATAAATGGCACTAAAACTAAATTATTGATTACACGCACGTATTTACAACATCTCTGACTTTTTAGCACATTAAAAACGTTGACTTTCGAATATCGTGTCAATTATTGAAATAGGTATAAGATTGTAGTGTTGTTGGAGGGGAGTCGTTAATCTATGTTGGAGGTATTCTGCAATGTCCTTGAAAAATATTGTTACTCGATTATAAACTATTCTAGCTGGACACTCGTATATACGTATTTTAAACATTCACTGAATTTTTCATGTTTCAAAATAACCACAGAAGATTTATGTATCTTGGGTCCTTGCTTTCTCAGAAAGAAAACAATCAGATTGCAATTTTTATATGCCTTGTATCAGTTGATCAGTTCGATTGGAAGAAATATAATGGCATTTCGTAGATTGTTCTTTACGCAATGTTCATATCCTGATCTAATTCAATTCATCTGTGGTAAATATTTATAAAATAAATAAAATTCAATAGCCGATTTCCAGGTTCCTTTGTTTATGTAAAGACTATTCATCTTCAAAAATCCTGGGCAAAACGATTTGTGAAAATAAATAATAGCACATATTACGTAGAAGTTGACAAATGACAATAAATTGGCAATTCATTATTTCAATAATGGAATAAGGTACCTATACCTAAATTGCAATCTGGTGCAATCTCAGATTGATCTAAGGGTGCAACTACTAGTTTTGATGTTTTTTGTAGAGGGACATAGACCCAGGGGACAGATGAATGCGAAAACCCTGACTCATATATAAGAAAACCACAGGGTCAATTGCTATGCCCTTTTCATTACTAATGTCATCCTATGTACTTATTACCTTATATTCGCGCGTCTGTTGCAGTGCCGTACATTGTACATTAGTAATTCAGGTATAGTAGGTATAAAAAAAGGAAACTAAATATATATAAGTATAACGAGAAAAGCCTCCATGAGTTTCCAGACCTTGAAAACCAATCTGTTAATTGGAATTGTGAAATTCGATATAAGGAATTGATCCAAAGGAGAAATAAGCACATTTTTTATTTGGTGGTAGGTATATAATCTTTCATCATGCATGGGTATATCACACGAAATCATTCTTCGGCAGGCTAGAACAGAGCAGATGCACTATCATTTCATTACTTGACTCCTTCCATTTGGTAGGAATACACCACAATGATACACAATAGAAGACATTTCAGTTATTATCTATCTCGATAGTTTATCCCCACTGAGCAAGAAACCAAGAAACATCATTGGAATGTTAGTTAACATTGAATACTTGTACCCATAATGATATTGCGAAAACATCTTTGCGATATTACGGTGTCACGTCTCCAGACGAACATTTGGGTGCTGAAAACGTTCCTGCTACTTTGTTGGTGGTCATATATTATAACATTCAGAATATTAACAAACGAAGGCTATAGTACACAGTCGTTATAACGATCAAATTCTCAAACGTATTCGGCTACAAGCCACGCTCACGGTCTTTGAGATGTCAGAAAGCACATATTCGAAAAGTAACTTGTATGAGTTCTTGCAAAGTGGGATTTTGACCATCCTAACCTTCAAGCCAGGACATCAAACTCGGAGATGATATAATGAATAAAGGTGAGTGTTTCCTAATCCTCCTTGTTTAACCTGAAAGTTAGTCCTACCAAGGAGATAAAACCATCGAGATATCCTTATTTCAGTGCAGGTGCCTGTTGGTAGCCTAGTTGTCGTCGTTGGACACATATCCTTTCGCCTGCCATTATTGATTATGTCAAGAGGTGGTATAGATTCTGAAGAATTTGCATAGTTGCAGTAGAAGTTCTAATCGTTACTCTGGTGCTACTTCAACCAATCGATAAAAAAACACGAAGAATTGTCATTATCATGGCTTTGGCTTTAGGTTACTTTGGGTCACCAATCTAGGCAGTCTCTAAAAAATATCATTGATCTCACCACTACACTGTACCAGAGATAAGTTACCCACAGAACTAATATTGAGTAGATTTAAGTTCATTATTTTTCTTTTGAGACCAATACTCGAAAGTCAAGTCTTCGTCTTGGTAAGATCTATTAAGTCTTGGTCTTTTATCAAGACAAGACCAAAGACTGGACTGTTGGTCTCGCGAAGCCCTAGGGTGGGCTTCAGGGGAGAAGGAAAAAAGAAGAATCGAACAAGAGTGGCCGGTATAGAATACACTGAAAACTGAAGAGTGCTGGGAATACCATCCAAGAAAAGTTGAAGATTGATGAGTGACCGGCTGGTAGGGTACCTCGGGTTCACCATTCCCGTACTCACAAGTCCTGAGCCCCTGAAAGGAACCTGATATAGGTACTCTTGTTCAACATTCACAAAAATTGGACAAGTTCAAATGGGGAGTGGGGGCCCAATCAGCCAAAGTACGTCTTAAAGGCGTCTTTAAGACGTACATGTCGGGACATAAGTACATATTACGCCCAAGAGACGTCTTTAAAACGTACATTTTCCACTAATATGTACGTCTTTAAGACGTCTTTTTTAGGTGTTTTTGGTCCATGACCTCAAATTGATCTTTAAAATTACGGAAAAATCACATAGTTTCAGTTAATTTTCACCTGTGCACTGAAGTTAGCAACAAGTACAGACAAGCAAAAAAAAAAGCAAAATAAACGACTTCATCGAACGGTAGACACAAGCGGTCACCCATTTAAAGTACTAACCGCGCTCTTTGTTGCTTGACTTCGATGATTATACCATACTGACTTCTTCTGTTACTCTGTTTGTTCTATATAACACATAACAAGCTTTTACTTAGTTTAACATGTCCTTGTGTCTGTTTGTAATCAAAACGTGCAAGTTGAATTTGACTCACTTTAAATCGTCCGATTGATTTGAAATTTGGCAAGTAAATATTATTCCGGTGACAATTCGTTGTGATATTATTATTGAATGGAACAAACAGAATGGCGGATCCAATATGGCGGACGATTTTCTCATTGATTATGTTCCGATTCGAATCAAAATTCAATATTCAAGATGGTGAATCCAATGTGGCATATGGTTTTCTGATTATGGTCTGATCTGATTCAAAATTGGCAACTGAAGGATTTCGGGATCAGAGATTATAATTCCTTTTGTCGAAAATGAAGAATCCAAGATGTCGGCTTCAAAATGGCGGACGAGTTTTGTGATTATAGTCCGATTTTATTCAAAATTGATTACTATATGGGACTTTTGGGGTCGGAGAATATGATTTTTTTTGTAAAAATTCGAGAATCTAACACGAAGGCTCCAAAATGTCGGACGAAAGAATTCAAAAACATCACTTTTGTTGAAAATAAGAAAAAACTGAACAATTGAAAATAAAAAACGTGAAGAGATGACATTTTGTTTTTCTTCAGAAAATAACTTACATTATTGTTCTATAAGTCGAATTGACGTACTGGAATGTACGTCTTTAAGACGTCTTTTATACGACATGGGAGGAACGACGTGGATACGACCTAAAATGTACGTCTTAAAGACGTAAATTCGTGTACGTCTTTAAGATGTACATGGATTTACAAGACGTACTTTATACGTCCCTGGACGTAAAGACGTAATAAGTAAGTCGTAAAATGTACATCTTTAAGATGTCTGGTGCTGATTGTGTGAATGAGGCAATGAGGCCTTATAAACGGCGTCTTGTCCATTTGGTCGATTCGGTGCTTATGTCATTGAAAACTCGTTAAAAATACATTTCTGGTTATAACTTTCTCGGCCATCTGTGACTGCCGCCACTGCGGCTCAATCAAGAAGCCACCTCACCGCGGACCCGCGACAAGCTACCAGGCCACTAACGGGTACGGTTTTCACCGTATGTCGAATGAATGTTGTCTCTTTTACACACTATACACAGTGCTTCAGTCTTCAATCCACAGTCAAGAAAAACGTTACGAGAAGCGCTCAAAAAACGCGCACGACAGGTGAAATCGCATCAAAACAA